CTCACAGCGGCTGCTGGCTACACACGGTAGCCCATGGCAACCCACTGCAGCAGGGGTTGCAGCCTACACATCGCTGGCCACTCAAGGCAGCCCAGCTTCAAGTTGAGATGTTGTTCAGCATCTTAGCTGTAGAGGGCAATGTCACTTGCCCTCATATGTGGGATCTGAACCAGGGTCCTCTGGCATCTCAAGCCAGCTCTTAACCAACACGCCACTCTGCCAGCCCTGATTTATCATTTTAGAGTATACTTTGTTTAGTGGTAGAGTTCTAAGCACATTTTTAAATTGTCTAATATATTTGAGTAATACACAACATTTTTTCATCATTCTCCATAAACACCAAGCTAATTCTTTCCTCCCACCCTCTGCTCATGCTGCTATGCCCACCTGAAATGACCTCTTACATATTCTACTAGCTGAATCTCTATCTCCCCATAAGACCTCCCCAAGTTATTCCAGCACAACAGAACCATGATTAGAATGAACAGTTTTCATTTTTCTCTAATCGTTGCATTGTTGTTAACCTTATCTTTGCAAATAATTGTAAACAGGTCTTGCCACATAGTTAACTGCAAGCCTTAGACACAGCTGAGAGTTACTTGTTAAACTTCTTCAGCCTTTCCACTATGAACACTAAGGAAAGATAATTTTTAAGACAACACATTTTATACCAAATTCCTAGTTCCCAGTATTTCCCTGCCTGTTTCCCTGATGGATGCTGGTTCTGGAAAACATGCAGGGTCATTACACAAGAGTATGCCTTTGCCTTTGGAGCCTGACCCTGGTAAGAGAAATCCCACGTTTCCCACTCAATCCATTTCAATGACTTAGGTTTTAGCTCCCTAGACTATTTTGAATAATTAATGCTGCATATAATAAAAGTTCAAAGGTACAAGTGGTACAGAGAAATGAAAGTTTTCTTCTTAGTGACATCCCCTTCTTACACAGGGCTGCCTCCACTGTGCCAATTGCTGACAGTTAGTATCTATTGCTGTGTGACCAAAAGATGTGTGTATATACATACACACCATGTACAAACATATATACATACATATGTGTGTGTACATATAGTGTATATGTGTATACATACATGATTTTCAAAAAATTACTAAATTATATAAACATTATGAATTTGCTTTTTTACAAAAATTTAAATATTCCTGAAATTGTATCAAGGGCAGTATAGTATTTGTGCAACATGAATTTATTTTAATAGACATTTAAGCTGTTTACAAACTTTTGCTATTGCAAATGATGTTGCAAGGTACACACATTTTGCACGCCTTTGCAAAATAACCTCTTTAGAATAGATTGCTTGAAATGACATTGTTGGTTGAGGGTATATCCATTTAAAATTGTGGTAGATACTGCCATATTGCCATTTATAAAAGATGTATGAATTCATCCTTCGACCTATAATGCATCAGAGAGCCTGTATCCCTACATTGAGGGCAATATGTGTTTGCAATTTTTGGTCTTGTCAATCTTGTAGGTGCAACCGGCATCACATGAATATCTCTTATTATTAGTGAATTCTAGCAACTTACTTTTCACATATTTAAAAATAATTTATATTTTCTTTATGTTACGTTTATGTTATGACATTCCATGTCTTTCGCTCTTTTTTCTACTGAATTGCTGACTTATTTCTTGATTTGTAGGACTTATGTATATACTAAAGGAATTAGACCATTGTGTTTCACATTTAGGTCAAAAAAATGATCCAGCTAGTTTACAGCTGTTTTGTTTGATTTTGCTGTGCTAAAATGTTTTGTATTTGGAGTGATGAAATTTATTCATCTTTGATTTATGATTTCTAGGGTTTTTTCTTTCTAAGATAGACTCTTCTGAGTTTATAAACATATTCTCTTATATTTTCTTGTACTACTTTTATTTGTATTATGGTTTCATGTGTGCATTTGCAATTCTTATTCCTATTGTTTAAAAATGTTTTTAATAACTGCTAGGATAAAATATTCTCATCTACTTCCTTAAAAAATAAATATTCCCTGACTAACGTTGCACATTTATTTCCCCACTCTGACCTTTAGAATGAGCTTGTCTAGTTGAAGTAGTAATAAACATGTTTATAATATTAGTATTCCTATCTACATATTCAAGTTTTCATTTATGTCTTCTTGTTGGTTTCTACTTATTTTACTTTTTATGTACTCATCTAAATG